CCCTAAAACCCTAAAGCCCTTGACCCATGGACTTCGGATGCGGCTCTTGCTGGCTGAAAGTTGGGCGTCGCATCCACTGGGGACCTTTTGGGCGGGGCAGGCTGTCCCCACTGTTGATGATCTAAATCCCGCATTACTTTAAGAATCCTAGACTAAATCCCGCAATACCTTAAGTTTAAGGGTCCCAAACTAGGGGAATCATGGTATAGTCCTTATTACGGCTAATCCAGGATTTAGATCATCAGCCGTGGCATCCTATCCTCCAGGAACCTATTCCGCCTCTACCAGGTGATTGAGCATTCTCATGTCCACCAAAGAGGGGTTAGGGCGGCGTCAACATCTTCTACGGCAGGCACAAGAAGATATGCCAAGCGGTCGTGTTGAACACTACTGTTGATGATATAAATATAAACCCTGCATTACCTTAAGGATCCTGAATTAGGGGAGTTCTGGTATATACCTTATTATGGGCAACCTGAACCCTAAACTTTAAACTCTAAACCCTAAAACCCTAAACCCTAAAACCCTAAAGCCCTAAATGTGTAATGCAGGATTCATATTCATCAACCGTAACATGATACACGGCGAGACCCGCCTCCCACCATGGCTGGGTTCCACATCAGGGTGTAGGTTTTAGGGTTTAGGGTTTAGGCACCTTCTCTCCAAAAGAGTGATCGGGCCGTGGGCAGAAGCCATCTCCGCCAGCAATCTGAAGCAATTACAAGGTCAGATATGGGGGTTTCTGAAAATAGGGGACCCTAATATAGTACCCTAAATAATAGGATCCTTATTATACGAACCCCAAAATAAGGTACCCCTTATTTTCGGAAACCCCCAGATATTAGGTAGAAAGGCCAGATGCCTTTCGGGGCCTCTAGGCTTGCGGAGTTGCGGTTGGTTTTGGACCGGCCTCGCCAATCTGCACTACTTCAGGGCTCATGCGTAGCCATCGAGGCGGTATAAACCCTAAACCCTGAACCCTAAACCCTGTAGGGTGCTCCAAAGAAAAGCATCAGAGACGTCCCTAAAACTCTTACGGGTGTCCTTCAAACACTTATGTTGCAACTAGAGTCATCCTTCAAATCCGGCCCAGAAGCCAACTAAATACAAACGACCCCTAAACCCTAAAGCCCCTAAACCCCTAAAGCCCGAAAGTCCTCAACCCCTAGACCCCTACACCCCTTAAAAAGTAAAATCCTCAACAAAACCCCTAAACCCCTAAACCCCTAAACCCCTAAACCCCTAAACCGTAAAATCCTAAACTAAACCCTGAGACCCAAAACCTTAAACCCCAAAATCCTGAACTACACCCTGACCCCAAAACCCTAAGCCCTTAAAGCGGCAAAGTCGCAGCCAGGAAGACTTCGAGTCTCAGCTGGTGATGAAGGACAAGCAGCTGAGGCCCGCAAGCCTCCGGAACCCCAAATTTAGGTTTTAATATTTTTAATATAGGGTTTAGGGTTTAGGGTTTAGGGTTTAGGGAAACTAGGGGCCTTAAAAATTACCTATACTATTGTGGGGGTTCCTTATTATAATTATAGTGTAATATACCCCCAACCCCCAAACCCTATTCTACTTATTGAGGCCCCGACTTTAGGGTTTTAGACATTGTTGGTTTCAGGGTTTAGGGTCTAGGGTTTAGGGTTGTAGCCGTTTCTGGTTTTAAGGTTCAGGGTCTAGGCTCTCGGGTTGAGGGTTGTAGGAGTTCTCGGCTTCTTGGTTTTAGGGTTTAGGGTTTAGGGTTTAGGGTTTAGGGTTTAGGATTTAGGGTTTAGGGTTTAGGGTTTAGGGTTTAGGGTAGGAGTTCTCGGTTTCTTGGTTTTAGGGTTTAGGGCTTAAGGTTTAGGGTTTAGGGTTTACGTAGGGTGGGGAGAAAAAACCTAAACCCAAACCCTAGACCCTAAACCGTCAAACCTCAAACCCTAAACCCTAAACCCTAAACCCTCCTAAACCCTAAGCCCTAAAGCCCTAAAGCCTAAACCCTAAACCCTAAGCCCTAAAGCCCTAAAGCCTAAACCCTAAACCCTCAAACCCTAAACCCTAAACCCTCGTAGTCGTAGCTCGCTAAGTCGAGAACCTCGGCTCACTTGTATGCACACTGTTCCACTGCTTTTCCCATAGGCCCTAAAGTTCCTTTTTGGGGTTCATATATAGAATCCTATAAGGTAATCCCAAAAAAGAACTACTATGGGGCCTATGGGTTTTTGAATTATAGTAGGATTATAGAAGCCCCAAAAGGTTAAAGGTTACCTACTCAGCCTCTAAGGTGCTTTTAGCATTCGAGATCTTTTGGGCGCTTTTTTCTTGTACTGCATGCCGCTCACCTGAAACACTGCGCACTGACTCTTTAGGGTTTAGGGTTACGGGTTTAGGGTTTAGGGTTCGGTCAGTATGGAGTACAGCTTGCTGGCCTGAGCGTCCCGAATGGAGATGAATGGAGATGTCCATCAACATGACCACCGTGCCATCCATCCGCTCCTGTACGCGCCTGGTTGAGTGGAACCGCTGCACCACGATAGGCTCTCGCCGCTTCCGTGGATCTCGTCCTTGCGCGGGTCAGTCTCCCCCACGTGGTGTTGCTTCAGAAGTTCTGTGATGGACTTTAAGGTGTTCACCAAGTGAGCCGTGGTGAGGGGCTTGCTTCTGTCCTGCTGACGCGTCCTCAACACTTGGTTCCATTTCTGATATAATGTAAGGGCCTAAATAATTACCAATAAAATACTATTTTGGGGGTTCCATAATATAAGTATCGTATAATGGGTCCCACAACCCGATTGTAGCTATCAATGCCCACGATACCCAGAGATGCTCGTTGTCCAGACATGCTCCTTGCTGGCATTGCTGTAGCAAGGTCTGGTCTTTCTCGATCTTGGGTGTCGGTTTGGGTTCAGGGTGAACAACACATCCTTGCTTTGGGTTTTCGATAAGAGCTTAACACATAGAAAAGGGTTTCGGGGCACACTATTTGAGACTAATGGTTCACTGAGCCCTGAGGAATAGTATTTATTACCAGCAATTCCGATCCCTACTTGAGGGGATCATGCGACTTAGAAAGTAAGGTAAAAGTACCATCCTTGGGGTTATAAGTCGTCAAAAGTACAGTTACCCTCATAAAACCTGGTTACGAGGTCCCATGATGCCTTAAGTAGACGGGTATGGGCTTTGGGGTGTAGGGCGGAGGGAGTGGAGCCCCAAGTGGGTATTATGTTGCTTTGGGGTCTTCAAGGAGAGTCTTTATATTGTACTTTGGTTTATGACGAGGTCGTTTATGGTTTGGGTAACAGGGTATGGATTTGGGATATGTTGCTTAGGGTCTTCGGGTTTCAGAATCTAGGATGGAATTTTGGTTTGCGGTCTGGTGTTTCTCTACGTATTCGTCACAGGCAACACACGCAGCAAGTTCGCGTGGAGCAGCTGTGACCTCAGTCAATCTTGCTTAGCAATAGAAACCTAAAGCCCAAAGCCAAACGCCCAAGGAATGCACATCGATTGTGTCGAAGGGAATGAGCATGTTCATGGGGTCTTACTAATTTCAAGAGGGCTAAAACACGTGACTTCAATATACGGAATACTTTTGTTAAGATTTCAGGCTCCTATCATATTACCCTAAACCAGTATACACCCCGAATCCTACGCCGTACACCCTACACATTACCCCTAAACCCTAAACCCTAAACCCTAAACCCTTAACTAAAAAAGCCTAAACACCTAAAGCCTCACCGCTACAAGCCCCATCGCTATCCTCTGAACGCCTGCCCCTGTAGCAATCTTGTTATCCCAAATGGCCCTAACCACCTATATAGGTGGTTGTCAAAATTATGGTCCCTTTTTGGGTCCTGATTATAATACGGCACCTATTATTTAGGGCACCCCAAAAAGGGACCATAATTTTGACAACTACCCATATGAAGTACCTTATTTATAGTGCAAACTACGCTTCCTAGTGGAGGAATTGCTATTAAGGTTTGGGTTAGTATTGCCCATATCGGTACACAAGACCCTGTGGGCAGAAAGCCCTCAGCCCCAATCACAGGGCTCATAAGAAGTACCTATAGTTTCCATCGTTGTTTCTCCTTTAAGGCTCTTTGTTACCTTGCTAAAATTATAACTTTTAGTACCCCTAATATCAAAAAAGGCTAACCCTAAAAGTGGAAATATAAGCTATAAAGTAACTGTAAAGTTCAACCACGTCTCTTTTGGTTACCCTGCACAAGGAACCACAATGGAGACTATATAGGTGGGGCTTGGCCTGAAGATGGTCCATTCGCGCAGCCATCTCCTCCATCCTGGGGTGAAGTTTAGGGTTCATGGAGCTGCCGTTTTATGTAGGGACGTGTATTATCTCAGAATAGGGCTTTTGGGAGTATATTGCACCATGATCATAATAAGGAGCCCCCCCCAAAAAAATGTGTAGGTGATTATTAAGGCCCCTTTGTTAGTTCCGAAAAGGGCTTCCGTTAAGAGTTCCATTGGTACTATAGGAGCTGTCGGAAGGCACCGCAGAAAAACGCAGGTTTGGGGTGTGGTTGAGGCCGTGCCAAACATAATCCATGCTGTACGGTGCCAGGGGAGCACACGCACACACGCACTCACAGTCTCAAACCCCACAAAGACCTGCACGCGCGCAGCGCAACCACTGCGACGAGCACACATGGGGGTTTCCGAAAATAAGGGACCCTAATCTAGTACCCTAAAATAGTAGGATCCTTATTATAAGGACCCCAAATACCGCCCCTAATTTTCGGAAAGTCCCAAAC